ATGCGCAAGATTTATCTTTTTATCTTTGTTTAACATTTGATGAACAACAAGGATACCATGATATATCATGCGCATGATGCGCTTTGCGGAACGCAGCCACTGATGCACTTTACTGACGCAGCTCAGTCATGGACGTAAAAATAATTAAGAACGAAACGTGGACCCTAAAATCGGACCCCAGGCATTAATGGCACGAACTGTACATACATACTTTTACTGTATCGAATCCATATTATTACTTATTTGTCTTACTACTTGTGAGGCACTTTTCTCAATTCGGTTCTGGATTTAACATAATGGATGCTCACGTGATCCGGAAAAGGAGATCAAAGGTGCCGACACCTACTACGAAGTGGACCTACTGGTTATGTGCCTTTAGTATGAAAATCTACAGTTCGCGTGTTATGTATACTATAGATTTCATACCAACATCTCAACGCCACATGTTTCGCTTTTCGCAGTTGGTAGCATTTTCATCCTATCGACATCTAAAGTATCTAAACGACGGAGAGCGCAGATTTTTAGAAAGAGACGCTTGCCAATTGAGCACCATGTTAATATGTTATCCTTCCACCATGCTCTTCAGTCCCATTCAGTCCTATTAGTTTCGCTCTTCACACTTGAAAGCTTCAACACACAAGATTTTGACCGGCTATTCTTGCGTGAGAGCATCGCCACAAAAAAAAGAAGCACTTGCTATTTGTTATGGTCTGATTATTGCTTGCCAACGCGGCGTAAAATAATCAATACGACCGCACCAAACAAGAACAAAAAATGGTAAATATTTCTTTCAGTTCTTCTACTTCGATAATTCCATTCTGAATATTGTAAGATATAGGAAAATATTGATGTGTTATGAGAAACATGATATTGACATGATGTTTTATTATTTCGCGTTAGATTTTGTCGAGGGCCAAGCCGGTCTCATCAGAAGGCGTTCGCACGTTGACTTCGCGTAAACAAATCCCGAAGCTGGAGGAGTTCTTGGAGAAACGGGACTATACTGGTGCCCTGACGCTACTGGAATTTAATAGCAGCACTGGCGGTAACCTGGAGACAGATTTGTGGATGGGATACTGCGCGTTTCACTTGGGTGACTACAAGCGTGCGGCCATGATCTACGAGAACTTGAGAAAGAAGGATTACGTGTCACCAGACGTTCCGACAAATCTGGCATGCTGCTACTTTTATCTGGGCATGTACCCCGAGTCGCAAAAGATCCTGGAAGAGGCAGCGGATAGCAAGCTGCGAACCAGGCTGCTGTTTCATTTGGCCCACAAGATGGGCAATGAATCCAAGTTAATGGAATATCATCAAATGCTGCAGGACATTATCGAGGATCAGCTCAGTCTAGCATCTATTCACTACTTGCAAGCTCACTATCAAGAGGCTATCGATGTCTATAAAAGAATTTTATTGGACAACAGGTTGGAATATCTCTATCGTTGACACAAAATTTAGGAGAATATTTTGATATAGTTATAATTTTTGGCTATCGTGTCTTTACTATGCACCTGCACTATGCACTTTTGCATATTCACGCAAGTTTAAAGAAAAGCACCAACAGATGCGACTCGACAACAGATTCTGAGTTGTATCTCCTTATTCAACTGCAGGAAAATTGCAGGTATCTGTTTTTTTTTTCACTTTCTTTACTGGAGTCACTTGTATTATTTTCAATCATCACAAAAATCACGAAAATATTGATTCAATAGAACGAATAGTTTTTATTTAAATTAAGGCGATCCTAAAGTCGTTTTATCAACCGAACGTGATTATTTTCCATGACAAAATAAACACAATTAAAGACGACAGATTTAAAAATTCTTCTCCACGATTAAAGTATAGGCATTAATGTAGTTCCAGCTGGTAGAGATTATGTTGAAAATAAAAAAATTAAAGAAATTTAGATCTCGGTAATCTTTTTCTTAGTCCAACATAGCATGAGCGTCTAGAGCTGTCAACATGTGCCAATGTTTGCTTCGTACAAAAATTTGGCAGTTGGTACAAAATGATACCAGCTGGAACTACAATTATATGTGCAAACAATGTTAAGTTCATAAAATTAGGCTTGGATGCCTAATAAAAAAGATATATGTCCTTGAAAATAGATCGGAAGAGCACACGT